ATGCAAAGTCTCATGCGTCACTGACAGCTTGTCTCTGGCACTTTTTGCCCAAGGGTCCCCAAGCTCCTGACTATTATTATCTGGCGACAATGATCCTCATCTGCTGCCTGCCAGATGGGAGACCTGGCACTGCAGATGAAGGCTGGAGGCCAGGCTGCCAAGAGGAGATTGTGCGGATGCCAGAGGACTGAGGACCTGAGATGCCCACCTCCAATGTCCGAGGAAAGGACAGAGAACCGAAGGGACTGAGAATGACAAAAGCCAGGCCTGCCTCCTGCTCTGTCTCCCGTGTGCAGTGTGTGAGATTGAAAAAAGCTGCTCACCCTCTCTGGTCTCAGTCTGGCTCTAGAAACCCAAGGACTGGTCCAACTGACTTCTCAGGGTCACCTATCTTCCACGCTCAGGCACCAGGCAGAGAGGAGCCTGAGTTTCTTTTTTTAACATCCCAGAAGAGTTGGGCTAATTAGTACCCCTGTGAGTCTTACATGACACATGTTTGTTTCCTTTCTCCTCATATTCTATACCTGGGAGCTTACAAGACAAACCCTGAAGTCCTGCTTCCCAAAGCAACCCAGAAAAGGAGCAAAGGCCCCTTTTCCACTCTGTGGAAAGGGCAGAGGGCGGAGGGCCAGACCTTCCACAACTGTGTCAGAAACACCCCTTGGGTTTTCATCTTCACTCTTGCTGACCTGTCTTATTCACCTGATAGGACTCCAGAAAAGTCAGAGGACATGGAGCTCGTGTCCTGGGGGCCTCTGAACTGAGGCCCAACTGCAAATCCACATGGAAGACTGAGGCTTCCCTCAGACCCATGAAAACCCTTCTCTGTCAAAGAACCAGAGAAGAGAGGGGCGTTTGTCTCTCACGCAGCAAGGTCATGGGCAATGTACACAGCAATTGATAGCGAGAGTGCTAGAATCAAGCTGCTGGCTTTAAATTCTGCCTGGTTGGTTTCCTTACTTCATTGTGTGGTGTTGAACAGGTTACTTATACTCTCTGTTAAATGTGGATGCTAATAATACCATCTGTCTCCTAGATGGAGCTCTGGTGGCCTAGCGGTAAGGGGCTGCCCTGAAAACCTGAAGGCACACAGTTCAAATCCATCAGTGGCACTACGGGAGAAAGATGGAAAGTCTCCTCCTGTGTGATTTAATGCCTCTGAAGACTCACTGGAGGGTCGTCAGCTATGAGTCAGTTCCGACCTGGTGGTACATAACAGCAACAGCCTCATAGAATGTTGGGTTTATGAGTTAACACATTCGAAGCACAGCACCGTGTCTGGCTTCCAGAATATTCTATACAAATGTTTGCTGCCCTTCCCCTCTGTCTCAGCATCATTTTAATTATCTCTGCCATTATAAAAACTGTCAGCTCCATCATCATAATCATCATCATCATCACCACCCTCATTTCCTTTATCATCATCTCCTCTTCATATCATCACCATGACCACCACCATCATCATCATCATCACCACCATCATCTCCATTATCATCATCTTCTTCATATCGTCATCACCATGACCACCATCATCACCTCCGTCATCACCTCCTCCATATCATCACCATCACCATGACCATCATCATCATCATCATCTCTATCACCATGACCACCATCATCATCTCCATTATCATCATTTTCTTCATATCATCATCACCATGACCACCATCATCACCTCCATCATCACCTCCTCCATATCATCACCATCACCATGACCACCATCATCTCTATCACCATGACCACCACCATCATCATCATCACCACCATCATCTCCATTATCATCATCTCCTCCATATCATCATCACCATGACCACCATCATCATCTCTCATCATTATCATCATCATCTTTATCATCACCATCTCCACTTTCACCTCTTCCATATCACCATCACCATGACCACAATCATCATCTCCATCATCATTATCATCTCCATCATCATCAACTTTATCATCATCATCATCATCACCATCACCATGACCACCATCCATCATCATCATCTCCTCTGTATCATCACCATCTCCATGACCACTTTCATCTCCATCATCATCATCATCATCTCTGTTATCACCTCCTTCATATCATCACCATCACCATAGCCACCAACATCATCTCCATCATCATCGTCATCTCCATCATCAACTTTATCATCATCCCACCAACATCATCATCATCATGACCTCATCATTATCATCTCCTCTGTATCATCACCATCACCATGACCATGATTATCATCTCTATCATCATTATCATCACCATCATCATCATTACCATCTCCATCATCACCTCCTTATATCATCACCATCACCATGGCCACAATCATCATCTCCATCATCATCACCATCTTCACTATCCTCCTACCAGCATCATCATCACCATCACCATGACCACCATCATCACCTCCACTATCACCTCCTCTATATCATCACCATCACCATGACCACCATCATCACCTCCATCATCATTATTACCTCCATTATCATCATCTCTGTCATCATCCTACCATAATCACCACCAATATCATAAGCTCCATCCCCACTGCCATCATCACCATCACTGTAGCATCAAGAGTTTGAGGATTGTCATTGTTGGGATCCAGAGCCTGCAGCTCTCTGTCACTGACTGGCTGAGAAACTCAGATTCTGTTTCCTCCTTGTATCATGAGTATTGCCCATGAAAAAAGCTTTTCAGAATTGTCATGGCCTCAGAATCCTTTGCTCAGAAAGAAGCAGAAATAATGAAACAGGAGAGGAGAGGGAGAAGCCCAGGCCCACTCTGTAGTCAGCCTCTGGAGCCAGGACCTCCAGCAGACCCTCCAGCTTTCATGCCCCAGAATGCTGTGATCACACATTTGCAGTGAAGGTCTCAGTGTTTTGTCAACAGGCCTGGGTTATCGGTATGGTGTCTCTCTTATAATCAGAGGATTTGGAGATAAGACCTTCCCAAGGTCAGTAAGAAAACCCAGGTTCAATGTCATAATCAGAGTCCAGCCCCCATGGAGGCCTTTGCAGCCCTGGGAGTTCGCAATCTCTTCCTTCCCTCCACCTCTCTGTACCCCACACAATGGAGGGCAGAGCACTGGCATAGTCTCCACATGTCCTGCAGCTAAGACGTGACAGGGCACTGGGCACTTGGGGGCCTTCCAGGGGCCAGAAGTCTTGGGCATCATGTCTCCTCTCTGGCACCTGGCCCCCTGGCATCTGCGTAGATCCACCCTGCGACAGGAGGAAATGTTTCCTTCATGACACAATACCTCAAGGCTCCTCAAGACACCAAGTCACTACCTCAGGGCTGGCAACCCCCAGATCACCTTCAAAGACTCCCCACCTGCTCTACAAACTCTGTCCTTCCCCTCAGCTGCCAATCCCCGGCCATCCCTCCAAAACCAAGTGTCTCATGGGCTCAGAGAATCCCAGGATGGGAGAGCAGAGGGAGCTCAGAGACCACAGACAGTCCTTGACTTGACCAATAGGGAAGGGGGACCCAGAGAGAACAGCTGGCTTGTCCAAGGTCACACAGAAAATGAGGCGCTGGTGTCAATGTGGAGAGGGCCTTTCAGGGAATCAGGGTCTCCTGATTGGTGGTGGTGGTGTTGCTGTTGTATGTTGTCAAGTTGGAACCAACCCATAGCTGACCTTTCAATGGGTTGGTTTCCAGAAGCAGTAAATCACATGGGAAGTGATCGCTCCTGGAAGGAGACCTCAATGGCGCCCTGGGAGCCAGCTGGCAGAGACAAGAGCAGGAAGGCATAGGAGACACCCCAAGACTATGAGCCAGCATCAGCCAGGACCTTGAAGGTCCTGCCTCAACTGTCTCCAGCACCAGTCTGGAGGGGCTCAAACCTCAGATAACTGAGTCCGAGACTGACCGGCTGCTCTGCCGGGACAGCTGGGAGCTGGGAGTGGACAGGATGAGCACCCGGGCTCCTGAACAAGGAGCTGTTTGTCTGGAGTTAAAGTACCAAGGGCGATGCATTCATCTGTGGCCACCTCAGGGCCTACAACCTCCCAGGAACAGTAAACAGTTACTAGACTGTTAGCCTGAGTGGACCCGGAGAGGGAAGAAAGCTGGGGTGTGGTGGGTGGGGGAGAGAATGATCTACCACCATTTGGGTGGAAGGCAGTGGAGAACGAGGGTCTATTTATAAGTCAGCAGCCAATCTCTGCTTTCAAAACAGAGCTGTTTTCTTCTTTCCCCCCCCCCTTTCTTTTTAGGGGTTGGAGGTGGAGAGGAAAGAATTACCGTAACAGCTTAGAGACCATACTGTTCTTAGCTCTCAAATACAACACACTCTCAAGGCCACCCGGAGCCTGTTTTTCTCTACTTATAATCTTTTGAGAAGTCATTCGTGTGGGCTCACCTGTAACAGTTGTCAGCATTGTCTAGGACTCCCTGAATGCCAGGTATTGTGACAAGTCCTATGCGTGCGCACACACACGTTCATAATGCTCATCTCTCCCCCTTCTACGAGGAAGGCATTTAGACCCACTTTGCTGTACAGGACAGGACGGTGAGGCCCAGAGAGTCTGTGTAACTTCCCAGTGGCCACACAGTTGCTCCGTGGCCTGGTGAGCATTAGAGTTAGATCTGTATCACCTCGAGGGTCATATCTTAACCCTGACAGCTTGGGGACGTCAATGGGCTTGTCACTCGGGATGGCCTTCTTCTCTCCTGTCCTACTTGGCCTCATCTGTTAACGAGGTGCCTGGACCAGCTATCGCTGAGACCTCAAAAATGCTGAGTACCTGTAATTCTAGGATTACTCTGGGAGCTCTAGGAACAAGGATTAGCCCTCAGGCTTCTCCAGCTGCCGACTCAAGCCTGTGGTAGATCTTTCCTCTCTTCCCTGACTCGAAAATCCAAGATTCAAGGCAAAGCAAAACCAAGTGGGGGCTTTGACGGGATCAGCTAATGCGGCCGACTGGTCGACCCTGGGGCAAACGTCCCACCGTGTGGACAAGCACCACTGGGCTGGGGGGACCACAGGCTCTCTTCTCTTTACCTGATGAGGACTTCCTGCCCGTGGCCCGTGATGTCAGCCTCCACCTTCCCCCAGACGTTCAAAACCAACTGCCATTCCCCATCGCTGAGCCCCATGGTGTGGCCTGAAGGGAACAAAAAGGAGCAAGTGTAGCCGATAGATCAGTCGGGCGTCCTGGCCTCGACAGCTGGGGCTCCAGGGGGTTTTATGCCATCTTGATGCGGGTCACGTGACAGCTCTTGTTCTCTCTCTCGGCCTTTCTCGCTCTCACGCAGGGGTCTAATCTCTTCCTTTCTCTAGTGCTCACATGGAAGCTATTTTGGGGCCCGTGCCATTGTGAGGACGAAGGACAACTCAGGCCACCGCAGGGGCGGACTGTGGGAGGAGTGGGGAGATGGCTGGGGCCGTGGGTCGGCAGAAAGGGCAGCTGCCAAGGCCGATGCCAGCCGCCTGAAACCCAACCCTCCCTGTCGTCAACCCTCCCCAGAGGCCTGTCATGTTTCTAAGCCTGGGCAGCAGGTGCCTTGGCTGGACCCAGGGGCCGTCTGACCCTTCGAAGTCTCCTCTCTCACCTGCCAGATGCCCCTCACACAGCCCAAGAGAGAGCAAAGGGCCAGGATAGCTTCTGCCAACAGCCAAGGAGCTCCCAAGATTTCGTACTGGGGGCCAGGCTTCTCCACACCCCCCAGAGAATGCCCGGCCCACCACCTTGCTCAAAGCTCTCCCTCTTCAAGGTTGTGCTTAATCTATTCCCCCAAGACATAATTAGTGCTGCCAAACCAAGGGCATGCAGTTCAAATCCGCCAGCTGCTCTGCGGGAGAAGGATGGACACTCTCCTCCCATGCAATTTACTGCTTCTGAAAACCCACTGGAGGGTCAGCTATGAGTTGGTTTCGACTCAATGGTATAAACAAACATTCTCCCATTTGTTGTTGTGTTGTTGTTATATGCTGTTGGCTGTGACTCATAGCGACCCCTATGTACGTTAGCTGTGAACGCTGCCCTATTCTGAGTCGATCTCATCGTCTCTGACAGACCTATTCACATTTCTCCAGTCACTGAGTCAATTCATCTCATCCAGGCTCTTCCACTCCTACATTGTCCCTCCACCCTTCCAACCATGATGTCCTTCTCCAAGGACTAGTCCCTCCTGGCAACATGCTCGAAGTATGTGAAATGGAGCTTCAAAATCATTGCCTCCAAGGAACAGCTTGGTTTCACCCTCTCTAGGTCTGACCTGTTTGTTCTCTTGGCAGTTCACGATATGTTCAACTCTCTTCTCCAGCACCACGATTCTTCTTCTATTATCCTTAGTCACTTCCCAGCTCTCTGATGCATGGCAAGTAATTGTGAGGACTATGGCCTATATCAGGTGCACCCTAGTCTCTAGAATGACATCATTGCTCTTTAGCACTCTAGAGAGGTCCCTGGCAGCAGACTTAACCAATGCAGTTCATTTTTTAACTCTCTGACTGCTTGTACCAGGAGTGCTGACTGTGGAACCAAGCAAACTGAAGTTGTTAACAATCTCAATCTCTTTTCATCTATCATAAATTTGCCAGTTGGCCCAATGGTGAGAATCTTTGTTTTCTTGATGTTGAGCTTCATTTCATATTGAAGACTACACTTCTTGACCTTCTGCATCAAATGTCTCCTGTCTTCCTCAGTTTCAATAAACAAGGTTTGAGTCATCTGCATAACGCAAGTTGTTGATGAGTCTTCTGCCAATCCTGATACCACATTCCTCCTCATAAACTCCAGCCTCGCGAATGACCTATTCTGCATATAGATTAAAGAAGTATAAAGATATGACGCACCCTTGACTCACACACCTTTGCTGATTCTGAACCATGCAGTGTTTCCCTGCTCTGTTCTGACTACTTCTTCCAGGTCCAAGTATAGGTTTTGCATGAGCACAATTAATTGTTCTGGGATTCCCATTCTTCTCAAGGTTAGCCACAAATTATTGTGATCCACAGAGTCAAATGCCTTTGCATAGTCACTGAAACACAGATAGGCATTCCTCTGGTACTCTCTGCTTTCAGTCAAGATCCATCTAACATTGGCTCTGACGTCCTGAGTCCCACAGCCTCTTCTAAACCGGCACATCTGGCAGGTCTCTGCTGATGTTCTACTCTTCCAGTTGTTTTTTTTTTTTTAAATCTTCAGCAGAATCTTGCTCACATGTGATATTTTTAAATTTCCACACTCTGTCGTGTCACCTTTTTTTTAGAATGGGAATAATATGGACCTCTTCCAGTATGTTAGCCAGGTAGTTGTCCTCCAGGTATCTTGGCATAACCTGATGAGTGTGTCCAGGGCAGCATCTGTATGTTGAAATATGTCAATAGATATTCCATCGATTCCTAAGGCCTTGTTTTTGCCAATTCCTTCAGAGCAGCTCAAACTTCCTCCTTCACCACCATTGTCTCTTGATCATATATTGTTTCATGAAATTCTTCTGTACCAGCCAATTCTTTTTGGTATTCTGTGTACTTCTTCCAATATCTTTTGATGTTTTCCTGGGTTCTTCAATCTTCTGCCCATAGCATTCTAAGTATTGCAACTCGAGGCTTGAACTTGTTCTTTAGTTCCTTCAGCTTAAGAAATGCCAAGCGAGTTTGCACCTTTTGATTTTGCTACTCAGAACAAATTGCTATCAAGTTGGGTTCCATTCAGGTTGGAGTGTTTGGGCTTGAGGAGTCTTGTCAATGAGTGAGATTAGGCAGACTCTGGTCTTAGTGCATAGGGTTGCTCTGAATTGGAGCTGATTCGGCAGCACCCAACAACAGCATTAGATGTCACATTAGGAGACGCATTGCACTGGGAAAAATCTGCAATTAGGGACCTCTCCAAATTATTGAGGAGCAGTGATGTCAGTTTGAGGACTAAGGTGTATCTGATTCAGGCCATGGTCTTTCCAATCACTTGCTATGCATTTGAGAGCCAGACAATGAATAAGGATGACAGAAGAATTGACACCTTTGAACTGTGGTGTTGGAGAACATTCCATGGATGGCCAAGAAAACAAACAGATATGTCTTGCAGAGGATGCAGCCAGAGTCATTTTTGGAGGCAGGAATGAGGAGGCTTTGCCTCCCATACTTTGGGCATGTTGTTAGGAGGTGCTATTCCTTGGAAAGGGACATGTTATTGGGAAGGGCGGAGGGTCAGTGAAGGAGAGAAAGACCCTCAACAAAGTGGACAGATACGGTGCTGCTGCAATGGTTCTTGTGTGTCAGGAAATGTGAGGATGGTGCAGGACAGGACTGCATTCAGATCTTTTGTTCATCATGTCACTATGAGTTGTAGTCAGCCGGACAGCACCTAACAACATGTTATGTTGTTGTTGTTGTTGTTGTTACATGTCCTTGAGTCAACTACAATTTATAGTGACCCTGTGAACAACGGCTCTGGACCCTGCTTAGAGGGTACTATCCTCACACTTTCTGACACACTTAAGCCCATTGTTACAGATGCTGTGTCAATGCATCTCGCTGAGGGTCTCCCACTATTTTGCTGGCCCCTTCACCTTTCTAAGCATGATGTCCTTCTCCAAAGACTGGTCCTCCCTTACAATACACCCAAAGTATATAAGATGGGGTTTCACCATTCTTGCCTCCAAGAAGTGTCCTGGTTTTACTTTCTCCAGGACAGACCTATTTATTCTCTTGGCAGTTCATGGCAGTTCTCCAGCACCGCAACTCAAAGACATCGACTCTTCCTTTGTCATCCTTATTCATTGTCCAACTTTCAGATGCATAACAAGTAATAGAAAAGATCATAGGTTGGATCAGGTACGCCTTAGTGTTTACATTGACATCATTGCTCTTTAGTACTTTGGAGAGGTCGCTGACAACAGACATTCCTAATGCAACCTGTCTTTTCATTTCTTAACTGTTGATACAAAGGGTATTAATTGTGGATCCAAGTAAGATGAAATCATTGACAACTTCGATCTTTTTTCCATCTCTTGTGATGTTGTCTATTGGCCCGCTGGTGAGGATTTCTGTTTTCTTGATGTTGAGATGTTATTATGAGAAAGTATATTTCAATAATGTAAGAATTATCAAAATGTGATACAGAAATACGAAGTGAGCAAAATAGTGCCCATAGACTTGCCGAGTGCAGGCTTGCCACAAATCTCCAATCTGTGAGAGGCTCTGTTTCTGCCAAATAGAGTACAGTGAAATGCAGTGAATCATTGTGTCTGTGTGAGCCCCTGTGCCACTGCCCGTCTCTGTCTCACACATCATGGCTTATTTCCCTGCTGTCTCCTTCATTCCTATGTATATGTTCGTGCTCAGAGACTTTGATTCAAGAACGTGACGTCTGCTAACTCAGTCATCGCCCTCAAACAGCCCTAAGGGGCAGATACTGGCATTATCCCCATTTAATTAAAAGGAAGTTAAGGCCATTTGCAAAGAGCACAGTGTTTGCTGTGACAGAGCTGGGATTTAATCCCAAGAATCAGGCTCCGAGTCCATGCTCCTGAGCCTGGTTGGTGAACACCTTGATGTGCATGTGTACAGAGCCTGTCTTACGCAGCTGTGTGTCTCTTGGGTCTAGTACAGCACCAAATTTAAACATTAAATGTATTGTTAATTGAATAAAAAGATGGAATGCCCTTGCAGAGAAAGCAAGTGGAGAGTGATGGGTCTTATTTTTTATCTACCCACCTATCCACCCACCCATCCACACAGCCATCTAGTTATTCATCTCTCTCTCT